AAGGTTAGGTTGTTTATTCGAGATGTTTCCTGTTTCTTAAGTAGGATTGTATTGCTATAAACTTCCCTCTTAGAACTGCTTTTGCTGCATCCCATAGCTTTTGGGTCATCATGTCTCCATTGTCATTTGTTTGTAGGTACTTTTTGATTTCCTCTTTGATTTCTTCAGTGATCACTTCATTATTAAGTAGTGTATCGTTTAGCCTCCATGTGTTTGTATTTTTACAGATCTTTTCCTGTAATTGATATCTAGTGTCATAGTGTTGTGGTCAGAAAAGACACTTGATACAATTTCAATTTTCTTAAATTTACCAAGGCTTGATTTGTGACCCGAGATATGATCTATCCTGGAGAATGTTCCATGAGCACTTCAGATAAATGTGTATTCTGTTGTTTTTGGATGGAATGTCCTACAAATATCAATTAAGTCCATCTTTTTTAATGTATCAATTGACGCTTGTGTTTCCTTATTTATTTTCATTTTGGATGCTTTGTCCATTATTGAAAGTGGGGTGTTAAAGTCCCCTACTATGAATGTGTTACTGTCGATTTCCCCTTTTATGGCTGTTAGCATTTGCCTTATGTATTGAGGGGCTCCTATGTTGGGTGCATAAATATTTACAATTGTTATATCTTCTTGGATCAATCCCTTGATCATTATGTAGTGTCCTTCTTTGTCCCTTCTAATAGTCTTTATTTTAAAGTCTATTTTGTCTGATATGAGCATTGCTACTCCAGCTTTCTTTTGGTTTCCATTTGCATGGAATATCTTTTTCCATCCATTACTTTCAGTCTGTATGTGTCTCTAGGTCTGATGCGGGTCTCTTGTAGACAACATACATAAGGGTCTTGTTTTTGTATCCATTCAGCCAGTCTGTGTCTTGTGGTGGGAGAATTTAATCCATTTACATTTAAGGTAATTATCTGTATGTATGTTCCTATTCCCATTTTCTTAATTGTTTTGGGTTTGTTATTGTAGGTCTTTTCCTTCTCTTGTGTTTCTTGCCTATAGAAAATCCTTTAGCATTTGTTGTAAAGCTGGTTTGGTGGTGCTGAACTCTCTCAGCTTTTGCTTGCTGTAAAGGTTTTAATTTCTCCATCAAATCTGAATGAGATCCTTGCTGGGTAGAGTAATCTTGGTTGTAGGTTTTTCTCTTTCATCACTTTAAATATGTCCTGCCAGTCCCTTCTGGCTTGCAGAGTTTCTGCTGAAAGATCAGCTGTTAACCTTATGGGGATTCCCTTGTGTGTTATTTTTTGTTTTTCCCTTGCTGCTTTTAATATGCTTTTGTTGTATTTAATTTTTGACAGTTTGATTAATATGTGTCTTGGCGTGTTTCTCCTTGGATTTATCCTGTATGGGACTCTCTGTGCTTCCTGGACTTGATTAACTATTTCCTTTCCCAGATTAGGGAAGTTTTCAACTATAATCTCTTCAAATATTTTCTCAGTCCCTTTCTGTTTCTCTTCTTCTTCTGGAACCCCTATAATTCGAATGTTGGTGAATTTAATGTTGTCCCAGAGGTCTCTGAGACTGTCCTCAGTTCCTTTCATTCTTTTTTCTTTATTCTGCTCTGCAGTAGTTATTTCCACTATTTTATCTTCCAGGTCACTTATCCGTTCTTCTGCCTCAGTTATTCTGCTATTGATCCCATCTAGAGTATTTTTAATTTCATTTATTGTGTTGTTCATCGTTGCTTGTTTCATCTTTAGTTCTTCTAGGTCCTTGTTAAATGTTTCTTGCATTTTCTCTATTCTATTTCCAAGATTTTGGATCATCTTTACTATCATTATTCTGAATTCTTTTTCAGGTAGACTGCCTATTTCCTCTTCATTTGTTAGGTCTGGTGGGTTTTTATCTTGCTCCTTCATCTGCTGTGTGTTTCTCTGTCTTCTCATTTTGCTTATCTTACTTTGTTTGGGGTCTCCCTTTTGCAGGCTGCAGGTTTGTAGTTCTTGTTGTTTTTGATGTCTGTCTCCAGTGGCTAAGGTTGGTTCAGTGGGTTGTGTAGGCTTCCTGGTGGAGGGGACTAGTGCCTGTGTTCTGGTGGATGAGGCTGATCTTGTCTTTCTGGTGGGCAGGTCCACGTCTGGTGGTGTGTTTTGTGGTGTCTGTGGACTTATTATGATTTTAGGCAGCCTCTCTGCTAATGGGTGGGGTTGTGTTCCTCTATTACTAGTTGTTTGGCATAGGGTGTCCAGCACTGTAGCTTGCTGGTCGTTGAGTGAAGCTGGGTGCTGGTGTTGAGATAGAGATCTCTGGGAGATTTTCGCCATTTGATATTATGTGGAGCTGGGAGGTCTCTTGTGGACCAGTGTCCTGAAGTTGGCTCTCCCACCTCAGAGGCACAGCACTGACTCCTGGCTGGAGCACCAAGAGCCTTTTTCCCACAAGGTTCAGAATAAAAGGGAGAAAAAGTAGAAAGAAAGAAAAAAAGAAAGAAAAGAAAGAAAGAAAGAAAGAAAGAGAGAGGATAAAATAAAATAAATTTATTAAAATAAAAATAATTATTAAGAAAAAAAATTTTTTAAAAAGAAAAAAAAACACGAAAACGGACGGATAGAATCCTAGGACAAATGGTGAAAGCAAAGCTCTACAGACAAAATCTCACACAGAAGCATACACATACACACTCACAAAAAGAGGAAAAGGGGGAAAAATAATAAATCTTGCTCTCAAAGTCCACCTCCTCAATTTGGGATGATTTGTTGTCTATTCATGTATTCCACAGATGCAGGGTACATCAAGTTGATTGTGGAGCTTTAATCCACTGCTTCTGAGGCTGCTGGGAGAGCTTTCCCTTTCTCTTCTTTGTTCTCTCAGCTCCCAGGGGTTCAGCTTGGGATTTGGCCCCGCCTCTGCGTGTAGGTCGCTGGAGGGCCTCTGTTCTTTGCTCAGACAGGACAGGGTTAAAGGAGCAGCTGCTTCGGGGGCTCTGGCTCACTCAGGCCGGGGGGAGGGAGGGGTGCGGATGTGGGGCGAGCCTGCGGCGGCAGAGGCCAGTGTGACGTTGCACCAGCCTGAGGCGTGCCGTGCATTCTCCCGGGGAAGTTGTCCCTGGATCCCGGGACCCTGGCAGTGGCGGGCTGCACAGGCTCCCCGGAAGGGAGGTGTGGAGAGTGACCTGTGCTTGCACACAGGCCTATTGGTGGCGGCAGCAGCAGCCTTAGCGTCTCATGCCCGTCTCTGGGGTCCGCGCTGTTAGCCGCGGCTCGCGCGTCTCTGGAGCTCCTTTAAGCAGCGCGCTTAATCCCCTCTCCTCGCGCACCAGGAAACAAAGAGGGAAGAAAAAATCTCTTGCCTCTTTGGCAGGTCCAGACTTTTCCCCGGACTCCCTCCTGGCTAGTCGTGGCGCACTAACCCCCTGCAGGCTGTGTTCACGCCGCCAACCCCAGTCCTCTCCCTACGCTCCGACCGAAGCCCGAGCCTCAACTCCCAGCCCCACCCGCCCCGGCGGGTGAGCAGACAAGCCTCTCGGGCTGGTGAGTGCAGGTCGGCACCGATCCTCTGTGCGGGAATCTCTCCGTTTTGCCTTTCGCACCCCTGTTGCTGTGCTCTCCTCCGCGGCTCCAAAGCTTCCCCCTCCGCCACCCGCAGTCTCCGCCCGCGAAGGGGCTTCTAGTGTGTGGTAACCTTTCCTCCTTCAAAGCTCCCTCCCACTGGTGCAGGTGCCGTCCCTATTCTTTTGTCTCTGTTTTTTCTTTTTTTTTTTCTTTTGCCCTACCCAGGTACGTGGGGAGTTTCTTGCCTTTTGGGAGGTCTGAGGTCCTCTGCCAGCCTTCAGTAGGTGTTCTGTAGGGGTTGTTCCACGTGTAGATGTATTTCTGGTGTATCTGTGGGGAGGAAGGTAATCTCCGCGTCTTGCTCTTCCGCCATCTTCCCCTAGATCCCAACTTTTCCATGATTTAATAAAAGTCTCAAGAGAGTGTCTGAATTAAATGATAAAATTCAGGGTTTAAGGTGGCCACTCTAAGACAGAAAAAAGGTGGAGCCGGATCAAGGATACACCATGGTGGTTAATTAATTTCACTGTGTGTGTGTGTGTGTGTGTGTGTGTGTTTACTTGTAGCTTTTCTGTGTAGCTGGGTTTTACCAGCTGATAGAGTATGTGCTCTTGTGATTTTTGGAACATGCTTGGATGGCTTCCTCTCTTGGATCACCCTGCTCGGCCGGGGTGGGGGCCTTGGGAATACTTATGCGCAACTGTAATACACTCTTCATATTGCTCACTTAGTTTGTCTACATTTAGGAAGGTCTAATTCTAAACGTGACATATGGCAGCTCTCTTGCACGACTAACTCACATAACTAATTCTTTGTGCATCTCCAGTATCATTCCCTCTCCAGGTAAAGTTTAGAGAAAGGGAGTGGAATTTATGTAATAATGCTCTGATACCTTCTTTTTTTTTTTTTTTTTAGTAGTTGTGGCTCGCGGGCTCTAGAGCACAGGCTCAGTAGTTGTAGCACACAGGCTCAACTGCCCCGCAGCACGTGGGATCTTCCTGGACCAGGGCTCGAACCCATGTCCCCTGCATTGGCAGGCAGACCTCCCAACCACTGCGCCACCAGGGAAGCCCCCTTGTTATATTTTTTAAATGACAACACTAGCGCATTAGGCTAGCACCGTGTATCTGCTCTTGTCACTGTATTGAGTACAGCTGAGAGAGCTGGATAAGGCCTTGCATCCATCCAGTCGCGTCACCCCATCTTAAGGAAGAAATGGCAGCCTGGACAGGTAAGGTGACTCCATTAGGGTCTCCCTGTGAAGGGGGCCGGTGGTGGTGTCAGTAGATCTCTCGACCCCGCCATGGTGGCCTCCAGCACGCTGCCTTGACGTCTCCTTTTAGGCCAGAGTCCACTTCCTTTCCCACAGGTTTGATCTCCTCTATGAGTTAATCTATGAGCTGGCATCTCTGCGTCTGGACATGGGGCTTCCCAGGCAGCATCTCTTTTCGATTCAAGGAAGAGGGAGGTGCTCTGACGTGAGAGCTCCAGGAAAGAGCGTGCTGGGGTTTGCAGATGGAGGCTGTGCCTGGCCGGTGGCACGGCTGACGCCCTTGTTGGAAGGTTTATGAAAGTCTGGGTGAGGCCTCGGGCACGAGCAGCCGTGCTCTATCACGTTGCTGGGGTCATTGGTGGAGGGGGGGTTCTTTCCGGCGCCCCCTGCCCGGACTCCTTCTGGCCCCATCCCTCATCCCCCTCCCCCGACCTCAGACCCATGACGGCCCGGGCTTTGGGAAGACAGCCGTGCTCAGCAAAGAATCGAGAAGGCCTGGGGTGGCCAAGCTCCCCCCGGGGCCCCTGACAGCAGCCTGACAGGCTTGCGGAGTGCAGCTCTCTGCACGGCTGGTGCAGATAAGGACCTGAGATTAACAGGATCTCAGCTATGCTCCAGCTGGTGAAACCCGAGCCCTAAGAGTTCTGTTCATTATTAGCTTTACCTCCTCCCAACCCTAAAAAATAAAAGGTGGAGATAACATTTAAGACCTGCAAAAAAGGGAAGTTGGGGGAATTCTCTTGGAATTGATGTTCTATTTTGCGTTTTTATGGACGGAGAATCTTCTGTACAGTATATATTCTTTGATACTTGTTGAGACTTTGTTGGTTCCTAAGAAGAGTTTAGCTTTTGTAAATGTGCCATGAGTACTTGAAAAAAATGTGTATTTTCTACAAGTATATTTCAGTATCTATCACGGTGCCCAGAACGTAGCAGGACTTAGCCAATACCCAGGTTGAATTAGCCTTTTTTACACACAACACGGTGCCCGTATGGCAACTTCAGACTATCTCTAACATTTTTATCTTGTGACATGCAAATTTGCTGGGACGCATGTGACCCAGAAACGTCTGACCCTGTAACATCAGAACTGCGCGGGTGGGCTGTGGGGGATCTGCCGGCAGCCCTCCAGAGGACAGGCTGCCTTGGGATCAGCTGGGGAGTTTTTTAAAGATGCGGCTTCTGGGTCCCACCCCAGGCCTGTGAATCGGAATTTCTGAGGACGGCGCCGGAATCCGACCTTTTAAGGATGCCTCCTACTCTCGATTCTGCTGCACACTGACAGTTGAGAGCTGCTCACCAGAAAACGTCATCTAAGTGACTTTTCAGGTTTTCTTCTTTGAAAGAACAAGATCTGTATCATTTTAGGTAAAAGCAGTCTGACTTTCTGGGCCTCCCCACTGGTCCCCAAGGTTTGCTGTACACGTGGAAATGTTGCTCTCTGGAAGAAGAAAATCAGTGTGCGTTGTCCCTATGGTACATCAGTAGCTGCTGTTATCTACCTTTTCCGATTAGATCCTCACCACAATCCTGTGGGATGCTGTAGTGGGGTGAATGGTGGCCCCCAAAAAGATATGTCTGTCTCCTAACCCCTGGTACATGTCAATGCGACCATCTTTGAAAAAGAGTCTTTGCAAGATGTGATCAAGTTACAGCTCTCGGGATGAGTTTACCCTGGATTACCCAGTAGGATCTAAATTGAATGAACGGCTTCCTTACAAGAGGCAAAGAGGAGAAGGCACAGGCAGAGAGCAGAAGGCTGCGTGAAGACAGAGGCAGAGGCTGGAGTGATGTTGCCACAAGCCAAGGAACACCTGGAGCCCCCAGAAGCTGGAAGAGGCAAGGGAGGATCCTCCCCTAAAGCCTTCAGAGGGAGCATGGCCCTGCCCACACCTTGATTGTGGACTGCTGGCCTCTGGAACTATGAGGTTGTATTAAGCCACCAAGTTTGGGGTAATTTCTTAGAGCAGTCATAGGAAACTAATAGCGATTGGTACTGTTGTTCCCATTTACAGTTATAGAGCTGGGTCTACTCTAGTGGAGTACATTTTATAACTGCTGGGTCCTGGGACAACGGTAACCTTGAATTGACTCTTCCTTTGAGGAGATTTATGATTTAAACACATTTCTTTCTGCCTTGTTGGGCCCAGAGATAATTGCTGCTCATTTACTGCAGTGAAAAGACTGGGGAAGTTACAAAATCCCCAAAGTCCTGTGTAGGAATCACCCTGGCTGGGAAAGTGTGGTACTTAGTGATGTGCATGGCACAGCTGGCAACAGCACCCCCAGACATGGATGTGGCTGTGATCCCATTCTCCCGGAGCAGGGAGCTTGCCTGATGTCAGCCTGAGCCCTAAGCAGGGCAATCTCCTGGGCTTTCACTTGTCTCTGGTACTGTGTCCATCATTTCAACTCCCTGTACAAATTAGCCATGGCCCCCTCAGCTCACGTGAGAGATGCACCGTGAATGATAATGAAGTTAGTGCTAACTGTGGCCCTTTTCAGTAACAACCTTCTAAAAATATATTGAACTTATAAAGTATTCATGGATCTAAAAAGCACTTGAGTATAGCTTTAAGGTGAAAGCATTGCCTTTAGAATCAGACAGACCTAGATTGGAATCCTAACTCAGCCATGCAGCCGCTCTGATGGGCCTGTAAGCAAGTTACTTAACCAGCCTGAGGGCCAATGTCCTCACTTCCAAAACTGGGTCTCACCTCTTAGGGATGCTGTGAGGATTAAAAGAGAGATGGTACAGGGCTTAGCCTGGTGATTGGCCGAGAAGTGCTGAGTGAGCACTGTCACTCTTATTCAACGTCTGAACGTTTCAGTGAGCTTGACCCCAGCCCAGGTCCTAAGGCTTTCTCTTTTTCTTAAAATGTACGTGGACAAAAGGTTGTACAGTTCATTTGAGCCTCTCTTATGAGCTATTTATTAAATGTTTCTTTGGGGATGTAAGGTGGCTTTTTATCCATAATGATAAAGTGTTGTCCTGACGCCTTCTCTCTTTGTGGTCTAAAATGATCATTGAATTTGAATACTCCCCTTCTGCTATTTTATTTTTCTAGGGTGGGAAATGTCAATTGGGGTGGATTTCAAATACTACTGACTAGGGATATTAAACATGTGAGTGTTTAATGACAGTGGGTTTTTTAAATATAAAAAGACAAAGCCAAGCAGATGGGATCATTAAATTATTGATAATGTTTTGCTGCAATGATTTATAAATAATACATGTTTAAAGGGTTGTTTCCTTTACATTTCTTTAGGGACAACTAAAGAGTCTTCTTGTTTGGAGTTTAAAGAGAACAGACAGGTGGAAAAAGGTCAGTGAAATGTTCATTCGTGCAGTTTCTATGCCCCAAACCCCTGAAACTTCCAATAAAAACATAACAAATTTTATGCAACCATATCAAATAGTCTCCTTTATTTTTAGAGTAGAATGAAGCAATGGCTTTAATTTAGTATCTAGGGAGGAAAAGCTTAAAATATATTAATACAAAGTTTCATATTAAACAGTATCACTTTTTTTTCCTCAGAAAACCTCCAAATTGAAGTTCGCTTCTATGAATAAAACCCAAAAAGGAGCCCAACAATTAGTCTCTGAAGGCTATCAATTTCCAGACACATTAGCTCTTTAGATATGTTATTTTAAAAAGGGAAAATGTGGAGTGACTAGGGACAGATCCTGGGAAACGATGAAGCCAGCTACGGCTACTGTCTGCCCAGCTGCCCTCCACGGGTCTGGGGCCCGCGGGTATCATATGGCGCATGGTGTTTGATGCACACAGGTGGGCAGGGGGGAGCAGAGGATCCATAGTTTTTATCAGATGTTTATGGTCTTGAAGAAAGTTAAGATCCATGGCTTCTTCCTTTTTCCTTTTGGAACTGGCTGAGAGGAATAAGGGGGTGAGAGGGTGCAGGTTATGCGAGGAAGGAAGAACGCCCGGCCAGCTCGTCCCGTGTCAATTAACCTCTCATCTCCAGGCAGCCTTTCCACCTCCATAAACCGTGATCAGCACTCAAAACTGGTTCAACAAGGCTAAACAAGACAGGAATAAAGACACAGACCTACTAGAGAACGGACTTGAGGATATGGGGAGGGGGAAGGGTAAGCTGTGACAAAGTGAGAGAGAGGCATGGACATATATACACTACCAAACGTAAGGTAGATAGCTAGTGGGAAGCAGCCGCATGGCACAGGGAGATCAGCTCGGTGCTCTGTGACCGCCTGGAGGGGTGGGATAGGGAGGGTGGGAGGGAGCGAGACGCAAGAGGGAAGAGATATGGGAACATATGTATGTGTATAACTGATTCACTTTGTTATAAAGCAAAAACTAACACACCATTGTAAAGCAATTATATTCCAATAAAGATGTAAAAAACAAAACTGCTTATAGAACGTGAGTGTGAAATGGTATCCAGCAACCGCAGGGAGAGAAAAATTGTCTTTAAATCTTTTGTTACTTGAATTAAAAAAAATTCTTTTCTTTGGAAGTGTGCTTATTTTTTTTTCCTGTATATTTGATTTTAACCTCTTTCTCTGCAATTTTCAAAAGCGGTTTGAAGCAGGCTATAAACCCATAATTCAGTGACAAAACTCAAGCATTTTTCTGATGATGAGGGGATAGTTTAAATGTTTTCTTTGAATGGGAGAATGTATTTTCTTTACAAGCTGTTAAAATATATTCTTTCTGAATATATTTTTTAAATATTTTAAGATATATATTTAAAGTATATTCAGGCCTGAAAGTGACTTAGTTGTATTACCTATTTGTACTGGTAAGAGAGGGAGTGAAAATTCCATGAAAAATTGGGTAGGGAGAGATTAAACGATTTATGTTACCAAATTTAATCACATTTCTCTGATGAGGACAGGGCTGAGGGAGCTTCAGTAACTTGCTCAGCATCCGCCAAGTGAGCATCAGGGCCAGGGTCCAAATCCGGGTCTGACTCCAAAGTCCACATTCTTTCCTCTGCCTCCTTCCCCTCTGGTGAGGTTCCTCTGTGACACTCCTCCCCTCTGGTGAGGTTCCTCTGTGACACCCCTTGTTGTCCTTGGCAACAAGGACAGATGCCTGCAGGTTCCTGGAGGAAAGGGGGACCATCCCAGAGAATCCTTCCTCTACAGGGGTTCTTTATGCTGACAGGTGATGGCCACAGAGAAGGATGGTTGGATAAAACAAAAGACCTGAGACCCCAGTTTTCCTGAAAGACTGTATCCATTAGAAAGTGTGAAGAACAAACCAGTCAAAGTCTGGGCAATAGGAAGTGTCGGAGCTTTGAAAGCAGCCAGCCTGATTTGGGTTTTACCCTAAAAACTAGGGAGGCACTGCCCCATTTGGGGATGTAAGGTGGCTTTTTATCCATAATGATAAAGTGTTGTCCTGACGCCTTCTCTCTGCAAACTCCACAGGACACTTCAGCAAAGGACAAAAAGCCCATCTGCTAAGAGGAGAATTTGAGTAACATCTTAAAGTGACATATCTGAGGCACCCAGCCCAATGCCCGGTCTAAGTTTGGTGCTAAATAAATGATCGTTCCTTTTTCGTTCCCACAAGAGATAGGAGGCCAATAGAATTTTGAGGGAAACCGTTAGTCTGAAGTCTGCACAATTGCCAAGTGTACAGTTTCTGTGATGATGTCATGGAATGTTTTGATAGGAGGTCCCTGAGAGACCATCTTAGGCTCTGACTCCTTTCCCCCAGCTTTATTGAAGTATAGTTGATGAATAAAAAGTGTGTATGTTTAAGGCGTACAATGTGATGATTTAACATATGTTACATTACGAAATGCTCACCACAATCAGCCCAACACATCGTCACTCAGTTACCGTGTGTGTGTGTGTGTGATGGAGAGGTGGTAAGAACACTTGAGGTCTATTTTCGTAGCAAATGTCAAGAATACGATAACTGTAGTCACCGCCGTACTGTACATTAGATCACCAGAACTCGTTCATCTGGTGACTGTAAGTTTGTACCCTTCAACCGACATCTTCCCGTTACCCGCACCCCAGCTCCTAGCAACTACCGTCCTGCGCTCTGCTTCTATGAGTTTGACCTTTTTAGATTCCACACAAAAGTGAGATCATACAGTATTTTTCTTTCTCTGGCTTATTTCACTCAGCATAATGTCTTCCAGGTTCATCCATGTTGTCGCAGATGGCAGGATTTCCTTCTTTCTCACGGCTGAATAATATTCCATCACATATATGTATATGTATATTACAACTTCTTTATTCATTCATCCATCGATGGACACCAGGTTGTTTCCATATCGTGTGAATAATGCTGCAATGAACGTAGGAATTCAGATATCTCTCTGAGAAATTGATTTCATTTCCTTTGGATATATTCCCAGAAGTGAGATTGTTAGATCATATGGTCGTTCTATTTTTGAATTTTTTGAGGAACCTTTAAACTGTTCTCCATAGTGGCTGCAGCAATTTACATTCCAAACAATGCACAAGGGTTCCCTTTTTTCCACGTCCTCACCAACACTTCTTACCTCTTTTCTTCTTATAATACCACCTTAATAGGTGTGAGGTGATAGCTCATTGTGGTCTGATCTGCATTTCCCTGATGATTAGTGGTGCTGAGCCCCTTTGCATATACCCATTGGCCGTCTGTGTCTTTGGAAAAATGTCTGTGCAGGTCCTATTTTTCAACTGGGATGTATTTATTTGCTATTGAGTTTTATGAGTTTCTTACATATTTTGGATATAAACCCCTTTCCAGATACATGGTTTGCAAATATTTCCCCCCATTCTGTAGGTTGCCTTTTCATTTTGTTGCTAACTCCCCTTTAACCAACACCAAAATCTGACCAGAAGGCCTAACTCATCAGAATGTTACTGACACTAAACTTATAGAGGAAAGAAGCAAATGATAAGAAAACCAGTTTGTGACAAGGATGTATAAATAAACATAGAACCGTCTAGACAGCATCCTGTGTTCAGTATTTGTTCTTCTCATTCTCAGACAGCTAATCTCTAGTCCTGGAGGGTGATTCCTAAACTCAGAAGGACGAGGCATTAGAAGTCAGACAGAACCAAATTAATCCTGTTCTCTGTGAGGCGCACTTTACCAGGACTCCTATTCTACAATGTTTTCTGGTAACAAGGTTAAGCCCTGATGAGCTAGAGATCTCAGTGAATCAGAATACACTGGTCGGGACCTGGCAGGTGCTTTACCTACAGCTGGAGCTCAGGAGACGTGTGTTTGTTCCCCTCAGGACCGGGGCTGGGAAAAGATGCACTACAAAGATACACTAAGCACATCACAGTTTTCTGTCCCCTCCCGGTGCTGTCTGCCCAACACCCCCATCCTGCTTCTCTCGTTCCTGCACGAGAAGAGATGTAGGGTGTCAGGAAATGGGCTGACTCATCTGACATCAGATTGAGTCCTTTTTATCTGCCCTTTTGGTTGACCTTAGTCTCTGATATTGGGAACGACCATGTTATGTTTATGAAGGTTTTCATTTCACAGAAGACACTTGGACTGCAGGGGACTCTGGTGATTTAAAGGTCCGGTGTGAGTGGCTGCCTGATAGCTCTTTGTTTTCCACAATCCTTTGACTAGAAAAAGAAATCAGAGTGTGTTTTAAACATGCTGCCCCGCGAGGGACAGGGATTCCTTCACTTTGGGCTGTGTCTCTGGTGGTATGTATTCACACTTTGCTTCAGAGGTAGGTTTAATTTCTGCTTGTTCTCATATTCCCTTTTTAGCTACATGTATTTCCTGGTTTTATTTTCCTCCTTTTCTAGTTGTGCTTGACTGAGCAGAGATGAGATATGCTATGGATAAATATGTAGAGTGTCTGCACAGGAATTACTCCTCTTATAACTGCTAATTAATCTATTCATTTTTAGTTGGCTGGCTTAACATGTAAAATGAGATTTCGGGGGGATGGGATGGGGAGGACAAGGAAACATTGTAAACCATGTTTTGTTTTATTTTCCCAATGAAAAATAGGCAAAAATAACAATGGTACAGTTTTCTCTCCATCTCCACTATGGATGTATTCAAGTTCTTTACCTGTATTTAATATTTTTTCAACACTGTGGTTTATTAGCTGATACTATTCCTCAGTCTGTGAACCCTTCCATTTTGTAGGTAATCATCTTCATTTTGGGAAATGTGTCCTAAGAGTAAGATCATTCATTTTCAAAGTTAAGGCTTAGAAACGGACAGCTGCTGCTCTGTCCATGTCCACAAAGCCACATTTCCACGTGCTGTCGGCTTTGCAGGGACTTGCTTGTCAAGACTCAAGGAGGGTTTATCTGAAATGTCTCAAAGGAAAAGAAAAACCTCAAAGGAGGAAAATGGGTAACAGGAGGATTTTTTACTTATCTGTTTTATGTAGAAATATTTCTATCTTTATTAATTAGGATGGCAGACAATGATGTTTTACACCTAAAATTGCCCTTTCCTGCTGAAATCTCAGTGTTTCCAAATGCATCTGTCAAACAACACTTTTTATTTAGTAATATAACAGCTGTCTTTTCCTTTGTTTTTGCCTAATGAGTTGTTCAGCCCCTTAAATTTTTTTTCTTTCAGGGTATAAATCCCTTTGGGAAATTTATAGAATAGTATTTCAGGTATCAAATTTGAATTCTATAAGGAAAAATATAGAGGGGGCCTTAATGAGATGAATTATGTCAAATGAAAGCAAGTAACCTACATTTAGTGCATTCTTGGGAAAATACAGAGACATGCGTTACATTATTGTCTAAATTTAATGACTGAAAGTGCTATTGTTTAAGAACTTTGGAGATTCTATAAAAAATATTTTAAGTAAATTTTCCTTAAAAACTTTGCACTCTCACACATCTCCAAGAATTGAAATTCAAAGTTGATTTTAAAAAGGAGGAGGGCTTAAGACCTTAATGAAATTACTAGTTATTTAAGTTTGATTGAAGAAGGTTCCCCAGCTACACACCCTGCTGGTTGTAGAAACAGAGACCAGTCAGATCAGTATTTTGACAAGAAAGGGCAGGACTTTTCTTTAATTACCGGATCAGTAAGACGGTGAGTTCTGTTCAGTGACATAACTGAACAGCTCAAGCCTGTGTCTATCTATCCCTTTACACTGTGCTGCCATAGACTTTAGAAGTGC